GTAGATCTCTAGGATTTAGTCATCTTACATGATTGAAACTACCCTTTGCATAACTTTGTACCTTTGACCACTTCTGGCCAGCCATTGAATCTTCTAGTTTTGCTCTGGTTTCAATTTAACCAATTGTCAGAGGCTTATTTTGTGTCATGTTAACAAACAGTAAATATTTTGAAATATTAACTAGTAAGAAAGACTTAACTTGGCTTTCCTATCTTTTCTGGTCAGCCAAAGTTTTCCACCAGGGTCTCTTCTTTCCTTATTTTGGTCTCACACCTTGCAGCAAAACAGAAGGGGAAAACCTTTGGGAACACTGTAATTGTTTTTTCTTAATCGGTTTTATTGGAAATGTTTAGTTTGCTTCCTGCTTCATCTACCAGCATGCCTCTAATTCCTAGATGTTATTTATTAATATTTAGACCACACATTTTTTTATTTATTAATGACTCTTCATTACCACATCTTTTATAAAACATCCTGAGTATTTTAAGCACCCTATGACCATCTTCACCATCCATTCCTGCTAGCGACTTTAAAATAATGAACACCAAAATGACCAAGAAGTTTGAGAAGTGAACCTTTAACATAAGTAATTACTAACATGGCCAAGCTACACACATGGCTTGAGAGAGGAATCTCGAGAAGGACCCTCAAGCATGGGGTTGGGTCCAAGCTCTAAATGTTTTACCAATGAGGAGCAATAAAAATTCGGGGTGCCTGGGTGGCTCAGTCGGTTAAGCGACTGCGTCGGCTCAGGTCATGATCCCGGAGTCCCAGGATCGAGTCCCGCATCACCAGGGAGTCTGCTTCTCCCTCTGACTCTCCCCCCTCTCATTCTCTCTCTCATTCTCTCTCTCAAATAAATAAATAAAATCTTAAAAAAAAAAAATTCTCTCCCTTTTTCTGCACCATAACCTTAGGAGAGAAGTCTTCTCATCCAGCACAAGCCAGGCCACATCTCCCAGTGTTGGAGTACATAAGCCCTAGGGAATCGGGGCAAAGGAGAAGCCTCCTCCAAGAACCTCACTGTTCTCATTTCCAGGAGCGGTCATGGTCAGCAGAACAGCTAATCTCACTGCCAGGAGAGATGGAAGCCAAAGGGAGCCTCAAATAACTGTGTACCAGGATGTTCTGGGCTCTGAAATAGCTGCCTTCACCTCATGGGCCACTTGAAGAAATCTATACAGAACTTAAAAATAAGTTGTAATAGAGCCTTACCCAACAGAAGCAAGATTCTGCCAGACACTTTTGCTTCTTCCCTTTTTGTTTTCCAGAGTTTCTTCCTCAGCTTCATTTTTTTCCCTCCCTAGTCACTCACTCCCTGGATAGTTTAATTCTCCTCTGGATATAACCATTACGCATAGTAGATAGGCAGAAATGCACTTTCCTTGGTGCTATTGCTGGTCTCTTGAGTGGGGGCTTCCACCTCCTCTTGACTTGTCTAACCCACATCCATCAGCTTGCCCCTCATGCTCACATTGCCCCTATTTTGTTTAATGACTGCACCATCCACATACCTATTCACACTACAGACCTCAGTCATCTTTCTTCCTTCTCTCTATCATGCCCCCCTTCCCCCAAACACATTCAGTCAGGCCCCAAGTACTGTCACTTCTGCCTGTGGAATGTTTCTGGAATCCTGGGACTTCACAGGAACCGGTTAGCTTGTCTCAGACCAAAGTCGGTTTCCAATTTACTTTCCATGTGATCATCAATTATTCTTCCAGAACAAAAATCCCGTTTTAACTCTCCCCTGCTTCATAACATCCAGTAGTTACCCATTGTCTGGATAAAGATTTCTTTTTTTTTTTTAAGATTTTATTTATTTATTTGACAGAGGGAGACACAGCGAGAGAGGGAACACAAGCAGGGGGAGTGGGACAGGGAGAAGCAGGCCTCCCGCAGAGCAGGGAGCCTGATGCAGGGCTCCATCCCAGGACCCTGGGATCATGACCTGAGCCAAAGGCAGACGCTCAACAACTAAGCCACCCAGGCGCCCCAAGGTTTATTTCTTTAACGATGTGTACACGATTCCTCTGGGTTCCTTCACCTTCAATCAAAATTCACCTTTCTGCTGAATTCTTAGCTCGCTGCTTTCTCTCAAAATGACAGCCAGTTTTTCCAACATCTTAGCCCAGAAGTGATTTCTTAATATGCTGTCTAGTTCGAGTTGCATATTTATATCAACTAGAGAGTCCTCTGGAGATGACTGTAAGTATTTGAGGTGGGGGAGCACGGAGAGGGGGTTAGGGCAATGTTGTGAACAAGGAACATCCTAGAGCAGCACTGTAGTTTGCTTACTCGGCATGCTGCCAATGGTAGCCCCAAATCACCCAGGGCCACGGTTTGGTTCCGAAGAAGAACGTTCCGATTCCAAATATTGTTAAAATGAAAAGATAGTCGGCAAGAATCCTACGCACTTTTGGAACTAATTCCTTTTTTTAAAATATTTTTTAAGTTTTTACTCTAAGTTTTATCTATTTTCTGGTAAAATATCTGCACTCTCTCTATGGATGAAATCATTTTAGCACCTTCTATTCCTTTTCCCTCCAGCACTACTGGGGAAGATACACCTTCAACAAATTATCATCATTTATTCAACAAAAGGGTACAAAGCACCATGAGCAAGAAATATAGGGTGCCCACAAAAGAAACCCAACATAGGGACACCTGGGTGGCTCAGTCGGTTAAGCATCTGCCTTCGGCTCAGGTCATGATCCCGGGGTCCTGGGATCGAGTTCTGCATCGGGCTCCCTGCTCCGCGGGGAGTCTGCTTCTCCATCTGCCTCTGCCTATCTCTCTCTCTGTCTCTCATGAATAAATAAATAAAATCTTAAAAAAAAAAAAAAGAAACCCAACATATACAGCATGCGTGTGCACACAAACGGAACAGAACTGGAAACGAATCTATCTTTCCTCTGCCTCAAGTGACAGCTTTGTTAATTCATGACAAACCATATAAATAGCTTCTATTTAGAATTTATATGTATGCCTTTTCTATTGCTGTTTATAGCCGTCTGGTAAGAACGAGCAAACATGGGTTCTACTTATGTCAACAGGCAGAGTTCCTACAGTATAGCTATTCAAAGTAAGTGATTTTTAATGGGTTCTGATGTAAATAGACAAGCTACAGATGCATTTATGAATTTGGATGTCTGCTTACATAAACAATAAAGCATGGTGGCTGAAAGCAGATCACTGGGAGCCAGACTGGCTTCTGTCCCATCCTGGGTCCACTATTTACTAGCTTTATAGATGCAGTCATCTTGGACACTGCATCTATAAAGATAAATAATGACATTAGCAACCTCATAGGTTATCATGAGGATTAAATAAGTTAATACATGGAAAGCACCCGGCACATGTTAAGTGCTTACCACGGGGTAAGTGTTCTACGAATGTCCCCTGTTGGTTTTGCTCACATAAAGCAATAATACTGTATTTCATAGATAAAGGTGGGATTTTTGTCAGAAGTATACCAGGGCCTGATATACTAAGTATAGATAAGGGGGTCCAGGAATTTAATACCACATTTGTTACCTTCAGGGTTGAGATTTAGTTAGCGTGTTAAGGAGAATGACAGTATTTTCCGAGTTCAAATATGACATTTACTCTGGTATTGTTAGCATATGAAATAGTTACAACAGTAGTAGAGAGTCTTCATGTATGCAGCTTCCCTTAGACTTATTTTTGAAAAGTACATTTCTCTAAAATAAATAGATTAAATTTTTAAAAAACACATTTTTCTAATTATTTGAATATATTATGTCCCATTTAACCTAATTGTGACAAATTAAGGGAAGGAAGCTGAGCTGAGGGAAGCTTTCACTATGTGAAACACGTTAGAATATCATCAACAAAAGTTTTGTTTTTTTTTTTTTTTCTTCAGACTTTGTGCTTCATTCTGGAGGAAAACAAGAGTATGGCATCTTGAATTTCTTCACTGGGTAATTTAAAACCCAGTTATATTGTGCACAGCAGCTGCACACAGCATGTTACTTGAGTTCAGCATCAATTAGTTACAAATGAAACTGGTCATATGTTCTCTTTCATAGGTGTTACTATTCAAATCAAACACCCAAGTCAACAAAATGGTATGAATATTTACAACCATAAATCTTTTTATTAACTCTTTAGTTTGGGCTTTAAAAAAAGAACCCTCATTTTCTTTCTTTCTTTCTTTCTTTTATTTATTTATTTGACAGAGAGAGACACAGCGAGAGAGGGAACACAAGCAGGGGGAGTGGGGGAGGGAGAGGCAGGCTTCCCAAAGAGCAGGAGCCCTATGCAGGGCTTGATCCCAGGACCCTGAGACCATGACCTGAGCCGAAGGCAGACGCTTAACCATCTGAGCCACCCAGGCCCCCCCCCAAAAATCCCTTTTTAAATTCTTAGTTCTACTCTACTCAAATAGACTATAACAGTTAATAGCTAATACATATCCAGTCCTTACTATATTCCAGGTGCTGTTCTAGACACTAGTGTCACTCTAAAGAGAAAACTATAGAGTAGTTGCAGCTTTTAGATAATACAGCAACCTCAAGGAGAAGACAGTGAGGGCAGTACTGAAACACATAATACATTATACGTTAAAAAAAAAAAGAAGAAGAAGATAGCAGGAAGGGAAAAATGAAGGGGGGGGAGTCAGAGGGGGAGACGAACCATGAGAGACTATGGACTCTGAGAAACAAACTGAGGGTTCTAGAGGGGAGGGGGTGGGGGGATGGGTTAGCCTGGTGATGGGTATTAAAGAGGGCACGTACTGAATGGAGCACTGGATGTTACACGCAAACAATGAATCATGGAACACTACATCAAAAACTAATGATGTAATGTATGGTGATTAACATAACAAATTTTTTTTAAAAAGAGTATGGAGTCTATAGACCACTGTTCTTGTATAGCATTTTTATACTGACATCTAATTTTATGAACTAAAAACCTTGTATAATTTTTTTATTACTATTCTAGAAAGGAGAGTGGCGTTTTTCAAGGACTATGTTCCACTTGGTCTGTGTCTGATGCCAATTAACCAATAAAACCGTCCTCATTCTGCTGCTGTGGGAAATAAGCAACAGCAGAAAAGTAATAATGACTTTAAAGCATAATTCAGTTGTAAGCACAGCCAAGGAGACGGAAGAGAGACGAGTCCCTCAACAGCACTACGTCCCAGCGCTCTCCCCTGGGGGCGCTTGCCAGCTTCCCCTCCCCCACTCCCCTCCTCCCGCGGACGGGAGCATTTGCCGGGAGCAGAAGGGGCGGACCCTGTACCGGGCGAGGAGCTGGAGGCGGGTCCCGGGGCTCGGGGGCGGTGCTCCCGGGAGTCGCGGAGCCGATCTCTGGGCCTCCGGCGGGTGCTCGCGAACGCCGGAGCGTGCACGGAAGCGGTGAGCAGCTAGGAGGGAGCCGCCGAGCGGGCAGTCTATCGGAGTGCTGGCAGGTCACCGGCTGCGCGCACGATGAGACCCGGAGAGGAGCGGCCCGTGGAGGGGGGCGCCTGTGCCGGCGTCTCCGAGCTGGAGCTGCTGAAGCTGCGCGCCGCGGAGCGCATTGACAAGGCGGCCGAGCGGCTGGGGGCCCTGAGCCGCGCGATCTGGAGCGAGCCCGAGCTGGCCTACGAGGAGCACCGGGCCCACGGCGTGATGACACGCTTCTTCGAGTGCGAGCCTCCGGCCGCCTCGTGGTCCGTGCAGCCGCACTACCACCTGGCCACGGCCTTCCGCGCCGAGTGGGGGCCGCCGGGGGTCGGCGCGGCGCCGCGCCCCCTGCAGCTGGGCTTCCTCTGCGAGTACGACGCGCTGCCCGGCATCGGGCACGCCTGCGGCCACAACCTGATCGCCGAGGTCGGGGCGGCGGCCGCGCTGGGCGTGAAGGGGGCCCTGGAGAGCCTCCCCGGGCCGCCTCCGCCGGTGAAGGTGAGGTGGGGCCCTGGCTCGGGACTTCCATCGCCTGCCCAGGCCGGGCGGGACCCGGGGATCGCAGGACCCGGCGCTTCCCGTGCGAGTCCGCTCCCCTCGGGGTCCCGGCCTCGCCTTTGCCGGAAGACGGAACCCCTGGATAAAAGCCTGTAGTTCACGAGTTCCCGGCCCAGCGACATTTTTCAGATTTTTCGTTTTCTCTTACGTAGTTGTAAACGATTGAGTAGACTCTCCCTAAGGAAAGAACTTAGAACCGAGCCTGGTTTTCGCTGTGATTTATTTTTGGTAACAGAGGTAACCGCAATTTGCTGACAAGGTTGTGCAATCTCTGGAAGAAGTAGTTATTGTAGGGAAACCTATAGTCCCTCGTTACGAGGCTCCAAAACCTCTTTTGTTTGTGGCAGTCATAGGAGCTGTTGTGATTCCAATCATTGGTATTTGGATAGGAAATTTTCAGTCATTAGAACTACCAAACCTCCCCACAAAAAGTGGGGAAGTGAATGAACCTTTACTGCATAGGTGAATTCATCCTTAAATTTTAGTATTTCATGATTTTAAGAAATTTCTCCTTCTTTAAGTGGGGGAAATGCCGTTTATGTTTGTTATAGGGCAAGTGTAATCTCGTGTTGCTGTGTTTTTTCAGATGGTATATCCTTCGTTCTGTGAACTAAAATACATTCGTCTCCATTCGGCTTAAGGGCAAGACAGAGGTTTTCTTTCATATTCTGTAGCCCATTTTTTTCCAATGTCAGTAACTTTTCTTTTAACAGTTACATCTTTTGTGGCTTAGCCTCTTTTAGCTGCCTTCTCTTTTCTGCTTCTGGGGGCTTGATTTTGCATCTGGGTAGGTTTTTGTTTTGTTGGGGGGTGGTGTCCTTTGCCATTGCACGAAACACTGGAGATGCTTAACTTCAGCCAAGTTTATGAAAGATTCAGGGAAGTCAGCAAAATTTAACTTGAGAAGTCATCAGATTTAAGGAGTCAAGGACTCAGAGTAAAAAGTAGGTTAATGTAAGAGTTTGAGTGGTTTCTAGACTTCCAAAGAAGGTTCAACTTTGGGAAATGTACACTTTTGAAGGGTACTGCATAGTTTTAGCAAGGTTATCTTTCCTCTCTGAAAATGGAATTTATGTTGATTCCCTTAAGGAGCCAAGCCTTTCCCCAACCTGTTTCATTGTATTCCTATACATGATCTTGAAAGTGTATTGTTGTTTTTTTTTTAAGATTTTATTTATTTATTTGAGAGAGAGAATGAGAGAGAGAGAGAGAGCACACGAGAGGGGGGAGGGTCAGAGGGAGAAGCAGACTCCCCGCTGAGCTGGGAACCCGATGCGGGACTCGATCCCGGGACTCCAGGATCATGACCTGAGCCGAAGGCAGTCGCTCAACCAACTGAGCTACCCAGGCGCCCGTATTGGTTGTTTATAGATCATTTTTCTTTGTTTTTAAAAATTGAAGAAGTTAAGCTTAAATATCAAAGTAAAATGTATATTCTGTAAAGTTCTCTCTTGTTTAATTAGGTGTTTGGTGACCAGTAATTCTGCCTGGTTGAACTGATGGAATCGAATTAGTAAGTTTGTGTAATAGTCGGCTGTTTCTAACTGTGGTGTTAAGGTTTATTTAATGCTCTTCCTAAAAGTTTAATAAGTTAAGACCTTCTAATGAGGTATCTCAGTAAGGAACCAGAGTTCAGGCCTGAGGATCAGGACATCTAATCCCTGCTTTGCCTAGAGACTTGCTTTGTGTCCTGTGACTTCACCCCTTGCCTCCAAACCACCATCCCTGAAAAGATGACACACATGGCTCACCTACCTCACAGGGTTGTTGTGGGAATAACTAGGAAGTAACTGGAAAGTTCTTTACCAGTAGAGTGCTTATGAGTAGTTATATACGTTACTAAAAGACTTAGTCAAGAAGAAGCTTTAAGAAACAAGTCCTAAGGAATTTGGAGGAGCTCAGTAAATAGAATTTATCTCTTTTTCATCTCTGCCATTAATTATATAAAATTGAGTTACAAAATGAAGCTTCCTGTTGTAGCTTTAGTGCATATGTGTCACCGAATTGGTATAATAGTGTAAATTAAAATTTGTGGTTAATTTAGCACCATAGGTTTATGCCCCCTGCATTATTGAAGTGTCAGAGAACAAAACCTCTCTCCACATAGTTTAAGGACTTTAATGTAGGTTGTGAATACATATGCAAGGGAACCTGTTTGATATTTTCCTCCGAGGATTTTTTGTTGTGGTTTTGCTCTGACACAGGTATCTCCTTCTAGGTAATTGTCCTGGGAACCCCTGCAGAAGAAGATGGTGGTGGCAAAATTGATTTAATTGAAGCAGGGGCTTTTAAAAATCTTGATGTTGTTTTTATGGCCCACCCATCCCAAGAGAATGCTGCTTATCTACCTGATGTGGCTGAACATGAGTGAGTAATCAAGTTGAAATAAGCCCCTTCGTGGAAAACAGACTATTAAAATATTTACATGTCCTAACTGGAGACTAAAACTCCATATTTATACATTTAAAAAATAAATTGAAAAATGATGATGTGATGCCTTACTTGATTTCCTTTGAATAACATTTGGTAAGCCTCTTCTAGTTGAGATTTAATATGGTGTTCATAATTAGACTATTAAAACAGTGCCTTTAGAACAGCAAACAAATGTTGACACATATTCTACTTTTCAAAAAAGATTTATTTATTTATTTATTTATTTATTTATTTATTTATTTATTTGAGAGAGAGAGAGCACAAGCAGGAAGGGCCAGAGGGAGAGGGAGAAAGAATCCGAAGCAGACTCCACACTGAGCAGAAAGCCCGCGGTGGGGCTCAATCCTGCAACTGTGAGATCATGACTGGAGCCAAAACCAAGAGTCTGACACTTAAGAGACCAAGCCACCCAGGCGTCCTAACACATATTCTACTTTTTTTTTAAAGGATTTTATTTATTTATTTGAGAGAGAGAGAACGAGCGGTGGGGAGGGACAGAGGGAGAGAGAGAGAGAGAAGCAGACTCTCCACTGAGCAGGGAGCTGATGCGGGGCTCCATCCCAGGACCTGGAGATCATGACCCGAGCCAAAGGCAGATGCTTAACCATCTGAGCCACCCAGGCACCCCCACATACTCTACTTTAAATTGAGCAAGCTGTTTTCTGGAAAATATCTACCCTTTAATATGGGGTTGTCCTTGCAACTGAATAGATTTGTAAGAGGCAGCTTTATTAGACTTGGGAAGAAAACACACTTCTATACTTGATTGTAATCTGAGTTCTTTACGAAGACGGTAAATTATATTTCTGAGAGAGGATACAGAAACTAACTAGCTGTGGATTTTAGTGGAATTTGTCAGTATATACTTTTCTGATTTGTCTGATGCTGACATTTTACTTCTTTTTTTTTTTATATATTGTTGGTCTGGCTTTTGCTTTCGAAGATGAAAGAATATGTCTTAAAAATTATTCCATGTCAGTTTGTTTAAAATATGTTTTGTTTTTGTTTTTTTTTAATTTTTATTTTTTATATTTTTATTTAAATTCAGTTAGCCAACATACAGTACATCATTAGTTTTTGATGTAGTGTTCGATGATTCATTAGTTGCATATAACAACCGGTGCTCATCGTAAAATATGTTTTTTAAAATACGTTTTAAAATATGCTAAAATACTAATGTTGGTATAAAATGACCATTAACATTTCTTTCCCTGTAGTTTATTGTACTTTAATTGTACATAGATTTGGGCCCTGGGAGAAATGGTGCTAGAGCCATTTTCATAAAGACTGTCCTTTTCCATTTTATATTTATCACCAGTTTTGTTAAAATTCCAGTTTCAATATAACGGTGATAAGATATATATCAAGGAAATAACAAGTATCCAACAAAATCTTAAAAATGTGTTTGGATGCTTTCACTTGTTTTTCTTTTGCTAACAGAATGTTTTGAATTTGTCAAGAAATACGAGCATACCAAGGACTCTTGAATCTAGTCCATTAAAAAAAAAATAAGTCTAGAGTAGCTTTTTAATAATTTAAATGTGGATACTATTAGTTAGGCTTAAAAAGTGTTGTCTAAGCAAGTCATGTTTATAAATAAACTATTTCATATGCAATCCTTTCCTTAAACCTTATTTTTTTTTATTGTATCTGAGTAGTTAGATTGATATGAGAACTGTTTGGAAGTAGAACAACAATAATTGATAAAATTTTGAGATACTAGTGACACAGGTGTTTTGGAACACTAATAAAATATTAGGAACAACGGACAATGCTAGAGTATCTTACAATATTGTGAGTATAATCTGCTATTCAGAGGCTGTCTTAACGCATTTCAAATTGTCACCTATTGCGGTTTTCCTTTACCTTCTCCCACCCTTAAGACAGAATCATCTGAGTTTTGCAGACCTTTGATATGAAGTTATCACAATGCAATGTAGGAGGAGACAGGAGCCAACTGTTTTGTAATTCCAGCACCTAACACAGAATTGCATGTTTGTTTGACTTGAGTCGTATACAGATTTAATTCGCACAGGAGGTCGACTGAGCAAAGTTGTCTTTTTCTCTCTCTTTTGGGGAATGCCATCTTTGTGTCAGTCACTGTGTTACATAACAGTAAACTATAACTAAGGTACATAAATTGTTACATTATTTCTACAAATGATTTGCGAATAAAAATTCCAGCAGTCTGAATTAATTCTGAATACTTGTTGGGTAATTCTAATTACAGTACCTGGATTTTCTTTAGTGATTTTGAAAAGAGTAATTCCAAATGATGTTTGATTTCCTAGCGTGACTGTGAAATACTACGGAAAAGCATCTCATGCTGCTGCATATCCCTGGGAAGGAGTAAATGCATTAGATGCTGCTGTCCTGGCTTACAACAATCTGTCCGTGTTGAGACAGCAAATGAAACCAACCTGGAGAGTTCATGGTACGAATGTCAGATATTTTGTGTAATAGACGGTGCTTAATATATTTCAGTGCAAGGTAATTGGTGCTTGAGTTTTAAAAATTGGAAACATTTTACGTACTTCATGTGAATATTCCAAACTTTTTAAACATTTTCAGAAATTCATGTGACAGAATACTAGGATGTTTGTATATGTTGGGTAAGAAGACAATTAAGAGAATTTATGCGTAAATGGAATGGTCATTTTGAGTATTAGAAATAATGGTTTTACGTAAGGACATACATGCTTTCTGTGGGTATTTGAAAGTTGAATCTTGATTTTCCAGTTATCCTCACTGTCTTTTAATGGTAGCAAATAATTTCCTCAATTTAAAAACAGTTAGGGTTACTGGTTTTATTTTTTCAAGTGCTGTTAATCCTGAGTAACATCTTTTTAAGTTATGCGTATCACCTTAATGTAATGACAGTATCACCTTAATGTAATGATAAATTATGCGTTACCTTAATGTAACGACAGTATCTTGAAGGTACCAATTTATTTTTTAGTTTATTTTCTCATGATATGGGATATTGTTACACTTTAATATCTGTTCTTTACCTGATTTTGTTACAGGCTGAAATTAGTTTATAGTGGTACGTTTACCAATTTTCTTAGTTTTTTTTTTAAGAGAAATATGTAGAAATAATATTTTTGAGAGCAGGTCATATAAATTTAGATTTTGTATATCTATTTTAGTTATTACTTTGAATGGCTAAATCTTCCTTCTCAGTGTAGTTCCAAATAAACGCATTTGTTTTGACAATTAATAGTGCTTAGTGATCTTTGACCTGCATTGGTTTCTTGCTGGTATAAAAATTATGTTCCCATAATTTAAATGCCATTTAAAATATTCATTGGATTCTGGAAGTATGAGGGTAATTACAGAACCTTACACCATTTTTTCCCCCCTTGGGTCAAAAGTTTTTCAAAATGTACAACTGTAGTGAAGCCTACTGAAATAAACGTCTCTTTCAGAAGGCTGGATAATTATAAAAGTTTTTTAACAGTTTCTTTATAGTCATGCAACATAATTTCTTAACATTATATAAATTCCTTAGAATAAAGTACATATAGACAATTTTTTTTCCTATTAGCTAAAAAGTATTACCCTATGTATAGAAACTTTTGTACAACACATCAAAATCTTTGATTGGTATATCTGTGAGGCTAGTAAATTTAAATTGTTTTTCTTCATGTACATATTGGCTGAAAACTTTATAGGTGTATTTTAACCTAAAGAAATGGTCTCCAAGCTGAATTTCAGTAATTTGGTTCTTTTTATAGGCATAATAAAAAGTGGTGGTGTAAAACCCAATATCATTCCCTCTTATTCTGAATTAATCTATTACTTCCGTGCACCCTCAATGAAAGAACTTCCAGTTTTGACCAAAAAGGCAGAAGATTGCTTCAGAGCTGCAGCTTTGGCTACTGGGTGTACAGTAAGAACTTTTAAGAGTTAATCTAAGTTATAATCAGAAGTATATATGTGGGCTGGGGTTGTTTAGTTAGAATATTACCAAGTTAGATTAGAACCTGGGGCGCCTGGGTGGCTCAGTTGGTTAAGCATCAGACTCTTGATTTCAGCTCAGGTCATAATCTCAGGGTCGTGAGTGACATTGAGCTCCACGGGGCTCTGCATTCAGCACAGCATCTGCTTGAGATTCTCTCTGCCCCTCCCCCACCCCGCAGGTGCACACGCACATGAGCTCTCCCTCTCTAAAATGAATAAATAAGTCTTTTTTTTTTTTAAGTTAGATTAGAACCTACCTTGCTCCTTTATCATTTGGCAGTGTTTTGAATATGTAAAATCAATTGACTGAATAGGTGATGTGAAGGTCTTTAATTCTTACTTATTTTACTCAGTGCCCACATAGGGAGGACTACAGTCCTCTTATTACACTGTTCTTGGAATAACTCTTCATAGGGCTGAACTATAATCCCTGCTTTTTTGCAAGTTATAACCTTCCTTATTGGCAGTTATGTTTTCAGAATTACTCAGTATAGTTCCCATAAAGGGAACTTTATGGCAAAATCAACGAAAGCTATTTTTGGTGAAGTTATAGGTATGTGCAGTAATGATATAAATACTTACGGCTTGCTGGAAAGTTTGTTCATTTGAACCATAAAATCAGTGACATCTATAGCAGTCATACAGGGCATCCAGTGTAATGCGAGTATTACATATTCTTGCCCTGGGAGGAGCTTATAGTCCAGTTGGAGAGTCAAGATCTGGATTGGTGCTGATTTTGTAACTTTTGGAAACATTATTACTATCTTATTATTATTTCATATGTTTAGGCCTCCATTTTCTCTTGAAAAATGGAGATAATATAATCTATCTTAGGGTTCTTGTGAGAATTAAATGAGGTGTTTGTTAAGAGTTAGGGCCTCGCTCTCATCCTTACTCCCTTACTTGTTTCTGCTCTCATTAGACTGGAGGTGTATGACTTACTCAGAGAGTGAATGGTGTCTCACAGTAGCAGTGATTCTCGGGCAGTATAAATGTCCAGAGAGGAAAAAATTGTTAATTTTATATAATAATATAAAAATTATATTTTAAATATTTAAAATAATATATTATAAAATAATAAATTTTATATTTAATAATATAAGTTAATATTTAAATATAAATTAAATTATATTAAATGTAATATAATTACTTACATTTTTAATATATTGGCTGATTTGTAATATATGACCAGGTGGTCATTATTTCTAACTTAGATGTTGGCTAAGAACAGAAGAAATGTCCACCCTGCCATTTTATAATTGGCTTTTACTAGTGTTATTGACATTACCTTTCGTTTGAGGGGCTGTTACCCATTTGGATTTAATCAAAACAAAATCTGTAAATCCTCTTAACTGGCCACCTATAAACTGCTTGTAAATCTTCATACACTGAAATACTGAAATTAATAAGTGAGGACTCAGGGGCGCCTGGCTGGCTCAGTCGGTAGAGCATGCAACTCTTGATCTCGGGGTTGTGAGTTTGAGCCCTACGTTGGCTGTAGAGATTACTTTTAAAATATAAATAAATAAATAATAAGTGACGACCGTAGTCAACCCTTCTTCATTGTGAACCTCCTCTATCTTTCTCTCAGGGTACCTTTAAAGCTTTCGGACCAAGCAGTGGTGTCAGTGTTGGCTTGTATTTTGGGTATGAGTAAAGCTTAATTTTTTCTTTTAGAGGCTACAGCCTAGGGCTCAGTGTTCCTCAGTGTCTGGTTTTTGGACCACCTGCATCAGAATTACGTGGGGGTGCTGGTTTACATGGAGATTCCTGGGTTCCCCCTGTACCCTACTGAAGTTACTAAAGTTGAGACTCACTGGCCAGTAGAGCAAGGTGACATTGTGTGGTTTGGTACATATATCACATTAGGAGATAGGGTCCTAGGGAAGTCTCATTATAGAAAATACATATTTTTTAAAGGTAAAATATTTGAGAGAGTTTATATCTGGAAGGGAAAGTGTGCCCTTAAACCTCTTGCTGGTTTAAAAATTAGATAGTGAATGAGTTTTTTATTTCAAAATTTGTTTTATAATTTCTTATTAGGTAGAAATTAAAGGTGGAGCACATGATTATTACAATGTTCTTCCCAATAAGAGCCTCTGGAAAGCTTATATTGAAAACGGAAAAAAACTTGGAATAGAATTTATTTCAGAAGATGCAATGTTGAATGGCTCTTCAGGTAATTAGGTTCCTTCATATATACTATATTGTGCTGTTTGGGGAAGGAAAATATCATCTTTGGTTAAATGGTTTTGTTTAGCAGCTTTGGAGGTGGGGGTATTGCTCTTGTTTTTGATAATATTTTTCACAAACTTAATGGTTAGGGGAAAGAAACTAATGAACTCTTCAGTGAATGTAAAGTGTTAAGTGAGCAGATTTGTTTTTAGAAATAGCCAGCATACTTTTTCCTTTGTATTCTAAATATTTCTAGTGTTTAAATTTGCTTAGTTCTAATTTTTAAGTAAGCTACTTAAAGGAGAACTACAATTTTAATTCATTCTCAGTCATCAGTAGACAGGCTAGCAAGTTATAAGGGGGCATTCCAGTTTTTGAGGTGTGACTATTACGGTTGTTTACTAGTAGTTGTTTAGTAAGCAACTATTAGAATTTAAATAGTTATAAGTGTATTGAGGGTTATTTTAGATTTTGTTCCTTTTAAAAGCATCATTACTAATATGTTTGCATGTTAGAGTGTTCTCCTAAAATATAATAATAGATGTTGACAAGGTGGACTCAAAAGGAGTTGGCCGTAGAAATGGGATGTTAATGTCATTTATTGAGATAAGGAGTTCAGGAGAAAGCAGGTTGGGGTATGGTATGTTGGTATATATTATTAGTATGTTAAGTTTAAGGTGCTTATAGGACTTTTAAGGGGAGCTATTCAGTAGCCTATTGAATCCAGAACCCCCGAAAGATGTCTAGGTTGGAGATAGAGAAGATGTCAATATCTGAAAGGTGATTGAAAACACAGGAGTTTTTGAGGTCACTCAAGTACACAGAGAAGATGCCCAAAGATGACTCCCTAGGGATTACCAGCACTTAGGAGACAGGCAGAGGAAGTCAGTTAGAGGAGACAGAAAGCCAGACAATCAGGAGAGATTCAAGTCATGGAAGCCAAAGGAGTAGAGAATTTCTAGAAGGAAAGGAATGGTAAATCATGTCAGGTGCTGTAGAGATTGGATAAGTATGGTCTGGTGTTCATTGGACTAGCAATTAGAAATTCATGGATTGTTGTGCCTTTCCAAGGATCTACTGATTTTGGAAATGTTACTTTTGTGGTTCCTGGGATTCATCCATATTTTTACATTGGATCTGATGCCTTAAATCATACAGAACAATATACGGAAGCTGTAGGTAAGTGTTCTTAGAAGTGAACGTGTTGGCATATGCTCTCTTTTTGTGGTTATAGCTGCCCATGTAATTTAGCCTATTGTTATTTCATTATCTAACATGACCTCAGAAAATACTGTATTGTGGTGGGCATTTGGAGAGGCAGTTTGGTATCGAGTGCTAACCTGAAAACAGTTCAGTAATTTATAATAAATATGGAGGTTTCTTCATTTATTTTCTCCACCTTTTAGGATCACAGGAAGCTCAGTTCTACACTTTACGTACCGCCAAAGCTTTGGCAATGACTGCATTGGATGTTATTTTTAAACCAGAGTTGTTACAGAGAATCAAAGAGGACTTTAAATTGAAACTTCAAGAAGAGTTTTTAAATACAGTAGAATAAAAGGAAGATCTAGGAGCCACTTACGGATCATTAAGAAGTAATAGTTTTTTTCTTTAATCTTTTTTAATGATGGAGAAAGGCATCCTTAATTTTTAGTCTTAAGGGAGTCAAGTTCCTCTTATCTGAAAAATGAGGACATGATGTGGCAAAAACACCTGACCTCAGGGGCATCTGGCTGGCTCAGTCAGTAGAGCACGTGACTCTTGATCTCGGGGTCATGAGTTTGAACCCCATGTTGGGCGGAGAGTTTACTTTTAAAAAATTAATTTAAGGGCGCCTGGGTGGCTCAGTTGGTTAAGCGACTGCCTTCGGCTCAGGTCATGATCCTGGAGTCACAGGATCGAGTCCCGCATCGGGCTCCCTGCTCGGCAGGGAGTCTGCTTCTCCTTCTGACCCTCCTCCCTCTCATGCTCTCTGTCTCTCATTCTCTCTCTCTCAAATAAATAAATTTAAAAAAAAAAAAATCTTTAAAAAATTAATTTAATAAATAAAATGAAAATTTTCACAAATCTGTGTTTGATGCAATTGTGATCTTTTAGGAGCTGATATGTGATGGCATTTCTTTCTTTTTTTTTTAAGATTTTATTTTTAAGTTATTTCTACACTCAACATGGGGCTCGAACTCAACCCCGTGAGATCACAGTCGCGCACTCCACCAACTGAGCCGGCCAGGCTCCCCTGTGATGGCATTTCTTAAACAACTTGGATGATGCATGGTTTATCAGTGATAATATTTTATAAATGTTAATTATTTTAATTAATATTATTGATTAATAATATTAATTAAATATTTAATTGTTGTATAAGTGTATTTTAAAAGATGCAAGGGATTTCAAACTTTATATTCAGAATTGACCCGTGAAAGATTTTTTTCTTTTTTGATATAAGGTGGTGAAATAGTTTAAAATTCAAGTGCTAAATTTAGGGAACGTTCATTTTGAATATCTGACTATATCTGTTTTGGTTTAGAGAATCTTTTCATTGATAATAAAAGCAGGTTTTAATCAGAAATGCTGTGGGAAACAACTAGAAACTCAGGTACAAAGAATAAGAAAAAAAATTTTTTTTAATTAACTCTGAGAAGTGGCATTAAAGTGCTATTCCTAATTCCATATTTCTGTAATAGGACAAAATATAGACGGGTTAGACTCATTTCTGTGAAGTGTTTGCTTGGTAGCCCAGTGTGTTCTAGAGGGACTTAATGAGAAAGGAGCAAAGTCTATTTGCTTTGAATATTAATGTCATATAACTGGTCACCTCTACCCAGCAGCCCTATTCAGGCTTCGACTCAGAAGCCATCCTGTCCAGTTTACTGAATTTAGGAGACAGAATTCTAAGCCTCCTCAAGCCCCATGCTATCTCAATACTAGTTTAAAAGTATTGTAAGTTTTTCTTGGTTCTGAGTGTGAATTTCTTGAACATGATAAAAGAATGTGAAAAAAAAAAAGTATCTGGTAAAGCAAATACTTTAAGCTGTGAATATAGTAAGGCTCTAGTATACTTCATTTTAAAGGGAGTCCTCAAATTTGAGTGTATTCCAAAAATGGAAGGTCAAAGAGAGACAAGTGTTTGGTCTCTCTGCTCCAAGCAGGTCACTCAGGGCCCCTGAGCCTTGAGCTCCCCATTTGGAAAGTTAGATCGCTCATCCTTACAGTCCTTTGAACCTCTAATTCCTATTCTCTCTGAAATTATTTAAAGTTGAAAAAAAGAGAAGAGTTAGTAGTTGAGAATTGCTTTTCTTCTATATCAAGGGGGACTACAAGCTATGGCCTCATTTGGCAAGCACCCGATTTTATATGGCTAGCATGCGAAAAATAATCTTTACATTTTTAAAGAGTCCTAGAAAAAAAAAAATATATCAGAGACCAAGATCAGGTCATGTGACTAGTAAAACTTAAAATATTTACAGTCCAGCCCTTTATTTTAAAAAAATTTACCAGTCTCTGTGCTGTATAACAGTAAAATAAAATCGGTCCTTCTTTGACTCACATCATGCAATCAGATCTTCTCCTAGGATAAACCTGCAAGCCAACTGAAAACTCAGAGAAAGGGGTTTAGCTGGCAGGGCCCTGGTGTTGACCTTGCAGTGCATCGGCGGTTTGTCCTCGTCTGGCGTTCTGGTACCTTCAGCAGTTTGTTTCTTTTAGCATTTACTTCACTGTGAGCCACAGCTCTCCTGATGCCTCAGTCTGTCCTCTATGCAAGCCAGTCTTCCAGCTCTTCACATCAGCCGTGAGCTCTGGCTCTCCTGTGACACACCTTGTCTGATTATTTGTAATCTCAAAGAGCCATGGTTGGTATATATTTTACAAACCGGAGAGGGATCAGCAGAGGCTTCCGGCGGAGAATTGGAATATGTCCAAGATCGCCAGTTTCTATAAACGGAATTAGTTTCCTCATTATCAACTTAATAAATGTCTGAACTGCAGGTTTTAAATTCCTTACAGAAGTCCCGCGCTCAGGGGCACCTGGGTGGCTCAGTCGGTTAAGCGTCTGCCTTCGGCTCCGGTCATGGTCCCGGGGTCCTGGGATCGAGCCCCGCATCGGGCTCCCTGCTCGGCGGGAAGCCTGCTTCTCCCTCTCCCGCTCCCCCTGCTTGTGTTCCTGCTCTCGCTATCTCTCTCTCTGTCAAATAAATAAATAAAATCTTAAAAAAAAAAAAAAGTCCCGCGCTCTAAGGAACATGGTTCTATTTTCTAAAGCCTCGATAACATTCTATAGAACAGTGATTGTTAACAGGTAACTGACACACTAATAATATTCTCCTGTTTTTTTGTGAAGTGTCACAAGTTCATTGTTATTCATACAAAGCGTTTGTGTTTTGTTTGCGATTGATTTACTGTTTAAAGACGAATTAGAGAAAATTTCAGGTTAGCATTCCGTTGTTACTGACTCACTTGGGCTCGGATAAGTGTCCTTGCGTGAGAGACCGCGGTGTGGGGCTGGCGCTGGTGGGCGGGTGTCATCTGCACCAGCACCCTCCGCCCAACCCAGCGAGCGGAGTAATCCGGGTCGCCCCAAGGTTTACGTCCCGGCTCGGTTGCTGTAATACTTTATTTTCCTTCCAATGTTTGAAAAGCTTGGTCAGGGGGCACCTGGGTGGCTCAGGCGTTAAGCGTCTGCCTTCGCTCAGGTCATGATCCGGGGGTCCTGGGATCGAGCCCCGCATCGGGCTCCTGGCTCATTGGGGAGTCTGCTTCTCCCTCTCCCTCTGTCTGCCGCTCTGCCTACTTGTGCTCTCTATCTCTGTTAAATAAGTAAATAAAAATTAAAAAAAAAAAAAAAAAGTAAGGATGGGGCACCTGGGTGGCTCAGTTGGTTAAGCGACTGCTTCCAGCTCAGGTCATGATCCCAGGGTCCTGGGATCGAGTCCCGCATCGGGCTCCCTGCTCAGCGGGGAGTCTGCTTCTCCCTCTGACCCTCCCCCCTCTCGTGTGCTCTCTGTCTCTCTCATTCTGTGTCAAATAAATAAATAAAATCTTAAAAAAAAAAAAAAAGAAATGATGTTTAAGAAATAATAATCCTCAGGGGCGCCTGGGTGGCTCAGTCATTAAGCGTCTGCCTTTGGCTCGGGTCATGATTCCGGGGTCCTGGGATCGAGCCCCGCGTTGGGCTCCCTGCTCAGTGGAGAGTCTGCTTCTCCCTCTCCCTCTGTCTGCCACTCTGCCTACTTGTGCTATCTCTGTTAAATAAGTAAATAAAAATCTTAAAAAAAAGTAAGGATGGGGCACCTGGGTGGCTTAGTCGTTAAGCGTCTGCCTTCTGCTCAGGTCATGATCCCAGGGTCCTGGGATCGAGCCCCGCATCGGGCTCCCTGCTCCACAGGAAGCCTGCTTCTCCCTCTCCCACTCCCCCTGCTTGTGTTCCCTCTCTCGCTGTGTCTCTGTCAAATAAATAAATAAAATCTTAAAAAAAAAAAAAAAAGCTTGGTCAGAATACGGGTTTATTCACTGGGATATGGCATGGATTTATCATGTCAGAAAAGAGGTTGAGAACTGATGCTCTAGAACCTATGTAGAGGTACATTTTTTTTTAGTACTAGAGCTTACCTTGACATTTCACATTATTTTACTTCAATTGTATTTAATACAATTCAGATTTTTCATCCCTTTTTATTTTTTATGTACCAGTGAGTTAATTGAGCCACATTACACTATAAAGTATAAATAAACACGTACATAAATGCTGGAGTCAAAAATCTCATTTCAGAGGAACCAATGATCACTAATCCTCATGATGCCATTTGAATGTAAGAGACCGCTGCCTTTGTAATGATAGATTTTCCTTTTGGAACTAAGCTCTTTTTATACCCCCATACTTCAGCAGCATGTTTCCTCAGTAACGGTGCTGAATTTTCATAAACGTTTCTACTTGGCTTAAATTACCATTGTTGGTTGGTCCTCTCAGCATACGTTAAATCTCCAGAGATTCTGGAAGATAAAGGAAGCACTAGATTACATGTGAACATGTACATGAACATGAACATTTAGACAAGGAAGGGTTATATTTAGCTCTTTATACTTTTAAAAGGTGACTGCTTATTTTTAGGAGGTTAACAAATAGGACCTTTCAGAATTTATAATTTTGTATCTTGTTTTCGAGGAAAATTGTATCCTCGTTTGAGGAAAGGAGCAACCAAGTTTTTCTCCTAGAAATCGTTTGAATGATGACACTTAATTATCACTTAGCATCAGTGGCCGTTGTTACTCCTCTACTAGATTATACATCAATATATTGATACCATATGTCAATATGCCTGTGTATTATTGGAAACCAGTATCTTTTCAATATACTTATACTTAATTTCCTTCAGGTACACTAAATCCTGATTCTTGGGGGGAAGAAAGGCCAAGCTGAGTTGGTGCGAAGTTTAAAATTATATGATTTTTTTTTCAAGATTGACCTCGTTTCTCACCTAAACTAGAGGTATGAGTGGACGTGTTTGAGGTGTCTTTGTTTTTATGGAAAATACTTCTGTTACACGCCTTTTTAATGATCTTTCATTGTTCATAACCTGCACCGAAAGTCTTTTCCTCA